CCAGACATCCTAACTACTTACTTACTCACCTGGGGCCTGAGAGTCAAGAGGCCTGATACGACTCAAAAGCGTGGATTTTAGAATCAGATCTAAGTGGCTTTCCACCTGGGGTCGGCCCCGCTCTGGCCTTGACCAAGCATATCTTATTGGAAAAATGGAGGTAAGCATACCCACTTTATAGGTTTATTGGCACAAGGATTAAATGAGAAAACCCATGGACAGCCTTAGCCCAAGACCAGGTTCCAAGAAGGTCAGCAAGTAACAGAGTAATAAGACACACTGACGCTCATTGTCATTCGTCCCCCTGGCCACCGACTTGCCTTGAGGCCTGGCATAGGGTTGACGTATTTCCCTAGTTCCTGGCACTGATGCCAGTTTTCCCCATTTTTAGTTTTATTGGTCATTTCTAGAGAATGTTGGAAGGAGGATATTAACAAACTGTTTAATGTCGTCTGGCCCAGAAATTTTCCTGTGCGTGTTTAGGCTGATTTCTGTTGGTATGTGGAACTAAATTGATTTCCAGACATTCATCTCAGTCCAGTCAGTTCATGCAGTAACTCAGGTTGCTCTGGTTCTGCTGGATTTTCTAAGAAAGCAATGGACCCTTCTACAATTAGCCACATTTTGTCTCCTTCAGAATGCTTCATTTGTGCTTCATTGCATCGATCACACTGTGCATAGTGATTATAGTTGCATCTTTTTTTCCCATTGTGTGGAGCCCAATACGGGGCTTGAACTCACAACCCTGTGATCAAGACCTGAGCTGAGACCAAGAGTCAGACACTTAACTGACTGAGCTACCCAGGTGCCCTCTATGGATGCGTCTTTACCTTATTCCTCGCCTAACAGAGAATGCCTCTCCCCTCTCTCCCTTGTGTACATGTGAATTGCTCTTGTGAGGCAAACGCTGCTACCTTGTTAAACCTTTATTTCTACCTCTCAGAGTTTGTTGTTGTGTTTTAGTCTGGGATGGCTGTTTAATTTCATCAAACAATAGTTTCAGTCCTTACTGAAATGATAAGTTTCTCTCATTTTTGTTTCTTTGACTTTATGGCAGACATGATGGCTAGAGATTTTTCCAGAACTCCACTTGGAAATGAATAGCTATTTTATCTTATGATCCGATTAGTGGCCATGCAAGAAGGAGTGTTAGGATATTTAGATGCTCATTTGGGAAAAAAATTTAAGTTTGAATCTTTCTTTGCAACCACGTAAAAATTCTAGATGGATCAGAGATTATACCTTAACAAATGCTTTATGCTAGTTGGCAAAAGTATTGGAAAATATTTTTATAGTCTTGATGTGAGGAATCATAAAAGTTGTAAAACCCAGAAGCCGTAAAAGAACAGACTGAGAGACTTGGTCACCTAAATATCTAAAACTTCTGTATGATGAAAGACACTGCAAAGAAAGTTAAAGACCGTGGAAGAATGGAAGGAAACACTGCCAACATACATCACAGGTGCTGGATTAATAATCAGAATATGTAAAAAAAAAAAAAAAAAGGAAAATAGAAAAAAGTATTTTTTAAGGTATTTATTTATTTATTTATTTGACAGAGACACAGTGAGAGAGGGAACACAAGCAGGGGGAGTGGGAGAGGGAGAAGCAGGCTTCAGGCAGAGTGGGGAGCCTGATGCGGGGCTGGATCCCAGGACCCTGGGATCATGACCTGAGCCGAAGGCAGACACTTAACGACTGAGCCACCCAGGCGCCCCAGAAAAAAGTATTTGACTAAGCAAATAAAGCTTAACTTCACTCATAATATTTAGCATGTAAATGAAAACAAGGTCACATTTTTCGTCATCAAATTATCAAAATTTTAGAGATAAATATCCAACGTTGGAGAATGTGCCTGGCTGCTAGATCTGGGACTTGGCGCTCCATTCCAGAAGTATTTTATGTCAATGGCGCCCCCTGCAGCACTGCTCCGACATTAACTAGGAGGGAACTGGGTGCCCCATGGAGCAGAACTCAGTGCCTGCCTCCTCCCTTGGAGGTTAGTAAGAGTTTTTGGCATATCCACCAAAATGTTAAAGTCTCTCTGACTCAATGATTCTTTTTCCCGGAATCTAGCCTTTCAGAAACACATGAGTGTGTAATGTGTACATAGAGATAGATGCAAAAGTATGTTCGCTGAAGCCCGCTTTATATTGGGGGTAAGGGAAACAAACCATCAATAGAGGATTGTCTGGACAGATGATGGTGCATCCATTCATGAGATATTTTGCAACCCTTCAAAGGAATGAGGTGGATTTATGTGTACTAACAGGATGATCTTCAAGATTTAATGTCATGACTAAGATGAACATGAATGTGAAAGCGAATCCCCAAAGTATCTATTACTCAATCCCACGAATATATGTTTGTGGGTGAGAATGCATAGAAAAGGAATTGGAAGAGTCCACCACACTGAAAGAATTGGACTGGATTGGCTGGGCCTGGGGTTGGGGGCTTGGTGACAGGGAGGAGTTTCAGGTTTTACTCTGTATGCTTTATTACTTCGTGACTCTACCACCACAAGAAAGCATAGCCCATGTGTTGTTTTCTTTGCAAATCAAAAATATTAAGCAGCCCACTTGCTCTGAGCTGCAAGAATCCCTGTGGGTTCGCCTGTTCTTTTTTTTTTTTAAAGATTTTATTTATTTATTTGATAGAGAGACAGCGAGAGAGGGAGGAGTGGGAGAGGGAGAAGCAGGCTTCCTGCTGAGCAGGGACCCCGACTCGGGGCTTGATCCCAGGACACTGGGATCATGACCTGAGCCGAAAGCAGACGCTTAAGACTGAGCCACCCAGGCGCCCTCGCCTGTTCTTTGACAACTTCCCACCTGGCTAAACTACTGAGGAATGTCCCACTAAGTGTGAGAAATTGTTGCCATTCTGAAAAAAGTTTTTCTGAGCTAGATCCTCTGGGCACCCTTAATCCCAGGAGAGCTTTAGATCCAAGTCTCTGTCCAAGATCTGCTGACTCAGCACAGGAATCTCTGCCTGGGGCTATTATCTGGAGGAGGAAGTGACGAAAGAGGGTCCCTGGGTGGTGGCTGAAGAGGGCAATTGCGCAGCCACAGGCGGGAACCCAGAAGGCGGCGAGGCGGCGCACGCGGCAAGGGCTCCTTGGGAACCCCAGCGGGGGTGCCTGGTGGATAGGGTCTGCACTAGCGGACTAGCAGGGCCGGGCCAACCACTCAGAGCTCTGTAGCGCAGACCCTATGCCTGTTGCTTGTGTAGCTTTCGATTTTTGTTTTCATTAAAAGTTAACTTTTTTTTTTTTTTTTTGCACTTTTTGCGTGGGCGCATCTTCGGCTATTGTGTTCTGAACTGGAGGGGAGGTGGAGATTTGAAGTTCACTGAAAAACTCACCCAACTCTTATTCTGGGTTTGCTTAGATGGAGAAAGAAAACCCGGCTCTCAGGGACCATGTGTAAGTCTAGCCTTGTGGAAGGGCTGACCCGCAGAGGCGGGACAACTGGATTCAAATCCTGACTCCACATTTACCACGTGACTATGTCAAGGTTCTTAACACCTCCGAGCCTCAGTGTCCTGATCTGCAGAAGGGACGTAAGGATGCGACCCCTCATGGAGCTGCAGTGAAGGTCACAGAGGTTGTCTACGTAGAAGTAAATCCATCAAAGCTGAGCTGCGGTTTATTAATCTGACGGTGGTTCCTAGAGCATGAACTCCTGGAGGCAGACATGCGATGTTGAGAATTAACTTCTCTCCTTCCTCCTCCAGGCTTTATCTAACACTCTCTAGTACAGAACTTAAGTATTTGCTGTACACTGTGATTCTGATTCTTTTTTAAGATTTTTTTTTATTATTATTATTTACTTAGTTGACAGAGAGAAAGCACAAGCAGGGGGAGATGCAGGGTGAGGGAGAGGGAGAAGCAGGCTCCCCTCCAGGATCATGACCTGAGCTGAAGGCAGATGCTTCACCGACTGAGCCCATGATTCGGATTTTGATTCAATTAGGGCTCTGGGTCTTTCCTAGCCTTCAAGCCATTTTACAAGTCTGTAAGTTGTAGGAAGCAATTAAAATAATTCTTGTCTACAGATATGCAAAAGATTCCTGTTACAGGTTCAGTTACTTCTCCTTCTCGGTGTGGAAGAAGCCAGCTTCACCTCCGCGGGCACATTCTTGCCAATATTCCAGATGTGTGTCTGTTCTTCCGACGGATTGTCACCTCTTCCTGGCTCCCTCATGAAGAGCGAACTAAAGAAAATCTTCAGCACCTGCTCATGTTATATCTGAATGAAAGTCACGATTTTACCTTTTTTTAAAGTATCTTCTTTTTTAAAGATTTTATTTATTTGACACAGAGAGATAGTGAGAAAGAGCACACAAGCAGGGGGAACGGCAGAGGGAGAGGGAGAAGAAGGCTCCCCACCGAGCAGGGACCCTGACGCGGGGCTCGATTCCGGGACCCTGGGATCATGACCTGAGCCCCAGGCAGACATTTAACGACTGAGCCACCCAGGCGCCCTTAAAGTATCATTTAACATTGCTGGGACCCCGGTAGCAGAACAGGAAGTTTCTGTAAAAGGCAGACACCACCTCTGCGTCCCTCTCTCAGGGTCAGACACTGGCCGATGGAATTAATGACCTATTCGTAGGCGGACGGAGAAAAGCTTCCACACTCGGTGCGCTCGGGGTGCAGGTCCGGGGCCGGAGTTGTGCGGGACCCGGAGGAAAGCGCTTCAGTGTGCTGGTCTGTGAAATGGGCTCCTAAACGCCGGGGCGAGGGGAGCGGTGGCCCGGAGCCCAGGCTTCGCCCCCTCCCGCTCTCCGGCGCCCGGGGAGGGCTGGGGGCCCGGCTGGGGAGGCGCCCAGGCTGGCACGCCGGCCCCTCCGCCCGCGGGGTCTCCGGAGGGGGCGGATCGCACGAGCCGGAGAGCCCGGAGCCGCCCAGGAATTTTGGCTCCGGCGGCGAGCATTTCCTGCAGGCGGGCCGGCGCGGGCCCCGGGGGCAGACGCTGCGCTGCGCTCGGCCGGCCGGCAGCATGCGGCCCCTGCTCTGCGCGCTGGCCGGGCTCGCCCTGCTCCGCGCCGCCGGTGAGTGGGGCCGGGCCGGGCGGGCCGGGGGTGGAACCGAGCCGGAGGGAGAGCAGAGAGCTGGAGAAAGAGCGACGGGCCGGGGGGCGGGAGGGGGGGGCGGTTGTTGAACAGAGACGTGACAGCGACCGAAAGGTAGAGAAAGAGTGGAGAGACCCGACGCCCCGAGGAGAGAGAGAGGAGGCAAGGATCAAAGGGAGGGAGGTTAAGTCCGCAGGGTGGGCACACATCCCCGCAGTACCCCCAGGGCCAGCTGCCTCCAGAGGGCCTGCAGAGGCCCCCAGGCCTGGGGTTACGGGCACTGCCTTAGAAGCTGAGTTCCGGCAGGCGATGACCCAGGCGTGGACCAGTACGGCCAGCGGGCAGGCAGGCGACCCCAGGAGAGAGGCCACGGCTTCACCTGTCCTCTGGCCGGCCGGGAGGGCTCTGCGGTCTGGGTGGGGAGGCCAGTCTCCCTGCTTCCAGAGATCTTCCCTGAGGGCCTGAGCTGCCTTGGGTGATGGGGGGGTTGGGGAGCTTGGGGCGCAGGAGGGAGAGGCCCTCTGGTTCTCCACCCGTTGGGGGCCTTGCCTTGCACCGTCCCCTCTCCCCTCCCCTGACAACAGCCTTAGTGCTGCCCCTTCTCAGGTGAGGCTCGGATGGGGCAGTTGCAGAGAGCCTTTATTTATTTATTTATTTATTTATTTATTTATTTATTTGACAGAGAGAGAGAGAGAGAGAGCACAGGCAGGGAGAGGGAGAAGCAGGCTCCCCGCCAAGGAAGGGGAGCCTGATGCGGGGCTTGATCCCAGGACCCGGGGATCATGACCTGAGCCGAAGGCAGTCGCTTAACCAACTGAGCCACCCAGGCGCTTTGCAGAGAGACTTCTTGTGCACAGATGCACACTGCACCATCCCGAGACTCTGCACATCGTCAGATGTGCAGTTTATAAGCCACACTCACATTTACCCAGAGTCTCATGCAGTCCTCAGCTAGTGGGAGCTGGTGCTCATCCCAGCAGTACAGGTGAGGGGAAGGCTCAGGTCTCCCCAGGGGTGCCAAGCCAGAGGCCTCACCAGGCATCCAGGCCTCCTACTCCCTCAGGGGGGCCCTTGCCCCTGCCAGGCTGCTCACCCATCAGCCCAGAGCCAGAGGATGTGAATCACACAGGTGAAGTGCCCTGCGCCTAGGACAGAAGCCTCCCACCCAGGGCCTTTCAGGGCACAGCCCACTGTGGGAGTGAGCGCCCAGGGGCAGGGTGGAGTCCAGTGCCAATCCTGGGCAGCCCCTGGCTGAGTTTCTTGGGTGAGTCGCCTTCCCTCTGGGAGGCTGTTTCCTTCTCTGTAAGCTGGGGAAAATGATACCCACACCAAAGAGCTGGCGGCAGAAATTGAATGAAAGAAGTCCCCAGCATGGAATTCAGCAGGTTGTCTCCCCTTCTTATCCCCTCAGCTTCAGTGATCTCTCTGAGCCTCAGTTCCCCCACCTATTAATTACGGAGGACCAACAACTGCCTCCTCACAGGCTGTGTGAGGTGTGGCTGGGACTGTGCTCAGCACAGAACCCACAGGGCAGGTCCTTCTTTCCCCCTACTTTCCCCCCTTCCTCCCCCCGCCCCCCCTTCCTGAGTCCCCACCTCCAGGGGTGGAGGGTACAAAGCCCAGTCTGTGCTCCCCTAGAGGGAGGAGCTGGCTGCCGCCCACTTTCTGCGGCCGCTTTAGTCGTGACTGGTATATACACTTTAATTTAAAACCCTTTTCAAACATTACTTCCTTTCTGATTATGCACGTTCCTTGCTACAGATTTTTTTAAAAGGGAGAAAGTTAATGTAATCTCACCCTGAGTTCACATATTTTTATGCAGACTCCTTCAGACTTCAGACAATTTACCATTGTTTTTCTTAACTTTTGATTATGAAATCTCTTAGATGTAAAGACAGAACAGCATGGTGAACCCCATGTACCTCCCACCCCGCTTCAGCGACACTGATTCGTGGCCAGTCTGGTTTCCTTTGTCACCCGCCTTCTCTCTCCTCCCTCCAATAATCTTAACGGAAATTCCAGGCGTCATATATTTTCATCCATAAACATTTCCTGAAGTATCTCTAAAAGATAAGTAATCTTTTAAGTTTTAATTTAAGTAATGTGTATATCCACTGTGGGGCTCGAACTCACGACCCCAAGATCAAGAGTCATATGCTCTCCCAAATGAGTCAGCCAGGTGCCCCAAAGATAAATAATCTTTTAATAACCATAACCGCAATACCATTATCACACCCTAAAAAATGGACGATAGTTTCTTTTTTAAAAGATTTATTTATTTATTTATTTATTTATTTGCGAGAGAGCAGGGGGAGGGACAGAGACTCCCCACTGAGCACAGAACCTGATGCAGGGTTGGATCCTGCGACCCCAAGACCACGACCTGAACAGAAATTAAGAGTCAGACGCCCAGCTGACTGAGCCACCCAGGCACCCCTGGACGATAGTTTCTTTTTTTTTTTTTTAAAGATTTATTTATTTATTTGAGAGAGAGAGAATGAGAGAGATAGAGAGCACGAGAGGGAAGAGGGTCAGAGGGAGAAGCAGACTCCCTGCCGAGCAGGGAGCCCGATGTGGGACTCAATCCCGGGACTCCAGGATCATGACCTGAGCTGAAGGCAGTCGCTTAACCAACTGAGCCACCCAGGCGCCCTGGACGATAGTTTCTTAATATCATCAAATATCCAATCAGTGTTTAAATGTCCCTAATTATGTCATGTTGTTACATTTGGCTTTGTTTTATCCAAATAAGGTACACACATTGCTTTTGGCTGATATTTCAGTTACGTTTCTTTTAATATGTAAGTTCTCTTCCCCGTCTTTTCCTTAAAATGTATTTGTGGAAGCAACTGGGCTGTTTGTTCTATAAAGTTCTCCACGTTAGATTTCAGCTGACTGTATCTACCAGGAGTCTTCTAAATGTTCTTCTCTCCCCCGTATTGTCTATAAACTGGTAGTTAGATCTAGAAACATCTGCTGTTATGCAAGAATATGTTAAGATGGTTTTTTTTTTTAAAGATGTATTTATTTATTTTGAGAGAGTGAGAGAGAGAGAGAGAGCACATGAGAGGGGGGAGGGCCAGAGGGAGAAGCAGGCTCCTCGCTGAGCAGGGAGCCCGATGCGGGACTCGATCCTGGGACTCCAGGATCATGACCTGAGCCAAAGGCAGTCGCTCAACCAACTGAGCCACCCAGGTGCCCTGTTAAGATGGTTTGTTGCTTTGATTACTACTGAGGTTGGGCTTTTTCTTTAAACGCATATAGGTCATTTCTACAAATTCTTGTGAATTGTCTTAGACTTCTCAATTGTGGTACTGTATTGGTCTGTAAAAACTCTTTATGTATTGATGGAAGCAAACTGTTTGTGATACTTATAGAGCCCTTTTTAAAAAAATTAAGGTTTCTGCTGAGTTCCTTTCCTGTTTTCCTGTCAGAGGGATCTAAAGTCCTAGAGCCTGGTCCTTTTACCAATTGTCACCCATGCCTTGGGGCCCTTTGGGTATGCTCTCACTGCCTACCAAGTCCCCATGGCCATCTGTCTTCCATGGGGATTCTGCTTTCTGCTTCGAGTGAAAGAGGAAGATGCTGAAGGGCTGTTGTGAGGGTCATGGCATTCTTTTTACACAAATGGATATTGTGGGAGTGAACCACTTAAAGACAATTTGATCCAAGGCACACATTTGGGCTCTTGGGGGGCCCCAAGACAGCTGCAAAGATGTCATGTGAACAGATCCCCTTGGCCCCATTTCCTGTCCAACCCCTCATTTTGTAACTGTGTCCAAGTTTGTTTGCTCGCCGAATGACAGGCCAGTAAGTTAAGAGGCAAGAAGTTGGGGTAGGAAAGTGACTTTATATGGAAAGCCAGCAAAACGAAGAGATGGTGGACTGTTGTCCCAGAGAACAACCTGTCTGAGGATGAGAGTTGAGCTTCTTTTATGTTAGGAAGAGGGCGGAAGTGGGAGGGGATTGGAGTCAAAAGATGACTGATGTTTGCATTGAAAAAGGTCCTGTTGAGGCAGGCGTCTGGGTGGCTCAGTCAGTTAAGCGTCCAACTCTTGATTTCGGCTCAGGTGGTGATCCCAGGGTCCTGGGATTGAGCCCCGTGTCGAGCTCTGCACTCGGCAGTCTGCTTGAGATTCTCTCTCTCCCTCTGCCCCGCCACCCCCACTCTCTCTCTGTCTAATATAAATAAATAAGTCTTTTTAAAAAAAGGAAAAGGTCGTGTAAGTTCTTTGCCCTTGGTCAGTTGATCTTTGCGTGTAGGAATTTTGTCACATCGTTCCTTTAAATCTTAAACATAGCATAGTCAACTCTGTACGTACTTCTCTGCCTCCTCCAGTGAGGTAGGTTTCGGGTAAGAAAGCAGTTTTTGTAAATCTTGGTTGTAAACAAAATTCCTTTAATGATTAACATGCCTATGTGCAGGGCAAAGCCGAAGTTTCTAAGCTACAGGTCACAGTGGCAAGGGAAATAGAAGCAATATAGAGTCAGACATGTTAAGTTTCTCCGTCTTACACAGGAGGCAGCTAAGACCCCAAGATAGGAGGCCCTTAACTTACAAAAGGTCACATCACAGCTAGTGCACAGTATAGACCATGTCGGGCAGGTAGGATTCAAATCCCATCCCTACGGCCTGGTAGCTGTGTAATCTTGGGCATGTTATTCAATCTCTTTGATCTTTGGTTTTCTAATCTGTAAAAAAGGGAGGTAAGAGTACTGAGCTCTTAATAGAATCAAATGAGATAATGTATACAAGCACTCAGCAGTAAGCTTGGTGCATCATGAGTGATCACTAATCCATAGTAACTTCCAATATAAAGTATGGTTATGCCTGTTGTAAAGGTGAAGAAACAGAGTCCAGTGAGTGGGACTGGCTTCTAAGAGAGCACAGAGAGCCGGGTCAGCACTGAGCCCTCTGTGTCCTTGTTGGAGAAGTTCCTCCCAAACATCCCTTGGGCCCTTGTAGAAGTTTATTCTTA